TCAAAAATCTAATCTAGTCGTCTGTTCCAAGGCATAGACGTTAGCATAGACTTCCAAACACAAAGACTGAAAAAGCTATTAACTAGAGTACGGAAAAAAAAAAAAAAAGAAAGAAAGGAAGAAAGGGGCTGGTATTTTTCTCCCACTTAATTCAGTTTTGTAAAAAATAAAATTAATACCTTGGATAATTAATATTTAACATAAGACACGTGCTTATACTGGAATCGACGTTTTCAAGAGTGATCGTGAGAATCTTTCCTGTGAAAATTACATGACAATAATTATCTTTCTTAGCATTTAGATGAGGAAGCTGGAATGGAAGAGTATCAGGATTACATGATTTATCATCATATCAGTGTCAGAACCACCATTCAACCACTTCTAGACAATTGTGAGCCCCCACACGGTAACAGGGATAACAGGATTTGCACTTACTTGATTTCATGTTACTGCAAGAAACCTAAGGGGAGAGGGAAAAGTGAGAGGTGCCTAGTTAAGTCTCAGGTCTATCTCTACCTGCTAAACAGTGACCTTCTGGACATTTTATCTCCCTGAGCCTGTTGCTTCATCTATAAAATAACTATGTCAAAATGTATCCTTTCCAAAAAAAAAAAAAGTATAATTTCGAAGTCCCCGCTTGCTTTAATGCCCCATGATTCCAAGGCTTCTTTCCTCCACCAAGGTGTTCCTCAATTTCATTCTTAGCAGATGTTCCAGGCTTTTTCATGACACTTGGCCTGATGTTTTAGCTGCATCCTGAGAGCCTAGAAAGGCTCCATGTTGCCCTGGGGACAGTGACATCAGCTAGTGAGAGCCTATTGTTGGCATTTCGTCTCAACTCAACTCCACCTCCAGTGGCACCATGTTGACAGTTGGAAATCAACCATGGTGGGAATGTTTACACTACAAAAATCAGTAAATGTCACAAATCAAATCAGTTCCTTCCTTCTCCTTCTCTTTCTCCTTTTCCTTCTCCTTCTCCTTGGAACCGGTTGTTAAGTTTACTAAGACACCACTGCCTGTGAGCCAAACCTTCCCATTTCCAAGTAAACTTCTCTGCTGTGGTCCAACCCCAGTGTCTGACCGGCTTTCAAGATACGTGTCTACTGTGATTATAACCCCACTGAGGTCTAAACATTGGCACTGAATGTTAAGAAGATACAGGCAAGAAGAAGAGTTGAAACGGC